TGAAAGGAAAGCATGAAACCTGATTTTTGAAATTGTAGGCTCTCCAGTGATGGTGGAACGAGAGGCCTATGCACCCTTTTGGGTCCATCCCAGCTGACAAACACAAACCGTTTTTTCTGAAAGAAGCAGTATCTGATAGATTATCACAGTATGAACCACATCCAGCCAGTAGAGGAAAAGTTATTTTTGGTGAACTGAAGCTAGATAGAGAGACGGAAGAACAATTGTCTGGCTGAGGTGAAAGTCAGAAACAACCTTAGGAAAGAAGGAAGTCCTGCACCTCAACACCACTGTGCCTCTATGGAAAACCACAAAAGGTTGCTTGCAGGATAAGGAAGCCAGTTCAGATGGTTGCCTTGCAGAGGTGATGGCTACAAGAAGTACCACAGTTTAGGTGAGTGCATAGAGAGGAATGTTCCTAATCAGTTCATACTGTGGTTTTTAAAGTGCAGAGAACTAGATTCAGATCCCTGGAGTCACAGGGGAACAGGCAGGGGAAGCAACATAGGTGATCACCTGTACAAAGTCTTAAAGAGTGAGGGGCAAACAATCACTGAAATGTAATACAAAATGGCAGAAAGCTGACTGCTGATTGTGCCGAGAGCCAAATGCTAGTCCAGACCCTGCTGCACAAATCGGTGCTTTTGTCCCACAAAAAAAAAAATTCTGGGTTGGAAGCCCCAATATTCACACCAAGTGAAGTTATTTTTTCTGTGTCTTATAATAACCTTATGGGAAGAAGGATTTCTAAGTTTAAGCTTTGTAAGAATCACAGAATCAGAGAGGCCCTTGTTCCTCAGAACCTGGGCATCAACAGCCATGGCCATTAAAGCCAGTGACCATGAAACTGGATAGGAAAGGGGAAAAAAAATAAAATTGCTCAATGGAACAGAAGATCCCAACAATCTGGCTGTAGCCACAAAGCAACTGCCATGAGCCTTACCCTCTTGACATACCATACATAGCAGCTGGGCCTATCAGGAAAGATGAGGAGCACTCAAATGCCCTCCTACCTTGATCCTGAAAAGCATATGAGGAATAAGTTTCAAGGCAAGAAAGGCATTGATCAGGGTGTACTGATCCCACAGAGTAACCAGCGTGTCCATTGCTTCTACTAGAGGATCTCTGAACCTGGACTACTGAGATTTAGGGACCACTCCCTGAGATTTAAACACTGCCAGCTCAGGGAGTTTGTCTGGCAATTGCTAGGCCTAGAATGTACATGGCTGGCCCGGCTGGAAGATTAAGTTCTGCCCTAGAAGAATCCCATTTACTTCTCTTCTTGTGAGACTTACAGTTCCTTTTTCATGATTGATGTATGGCAAGGTCATAGTTTTATCTGGCTGAATCTGGATTAGCTTACCCTCTAGTAGGATGGATCAGCACTGCAGAAACATCCAAACTGCCCAAAGTTACAGGATGTTGACTGGGACACACCCACAACCACTAAATCTCCTACACCAACCGGGTGCCCATGAATGCCCAAACTGGCACCTGTCACGAGGGTCCTCCATATGACAAGGAAGGAATTCCCAGAGTCCAGACCCAGATTTCTGAGCCACCACAACAAGGACAAAATATTGCTTGGTGACAAACGAAATGGTCTGTCCAGAGACTGGATCAACTTGTTCCACAATACCAGAATGTTGCATTGCAGAGGCTAGGAGTTAAATTGGCCAAATGGAACTGCCTTGAAGGAGCTACCATCAGGACTAGGACTCTCATGCATAAGTGGATTGATGTATGGATCAGGACTGGGGAATCTGAATCCAAGACCTAGGATTCTAAAGTTTCTCCTCTGGGCTGAGCTCTGTCCAGGACTAGACTCAGATACTCTAAACATTGAGTCAATTCCAGCAACGTTTTCTGAAGGTTCAGGATCAACCTAAATAACCAATGTCTGCACTGTCAAAAGGCAAGTCCGACGACTGTTTCCTCAACAGGAAGTCATCCAAGTATCCCACAGTGGGGATGCCCCAAGAGCACAGCAAGGCTAATACTGGGGCCAGCATTTTTTTGAAAACCTGGGATGCAGGTGAGGAGCACCTTGGTGGCTTACTGATTCACACTTTACCTTGCAGCAATGGTGTCCTCAGTTCAAATCCCAGTTAGGACACTATTTATATAAAGTTTGCATGTTCTTCTTGTGCCAATGTAGGTTTCCTCCAAGTACTCCATTTATTTCCTACACTCCAAAGACATGCTGGTAGGTTAAGTGGCTCCTTGAGGGCTTCAAAGGCCTTAGCAAACAATAGTTCATGTATAGTACTATACAAGTCTTTGTGAAGACACAGGCTGGCTTGTTAATCCTCTCCCTTTTTTCATTGCGTGTGCATAATCTAATATTCAGTCATTAACACAACTTTGATATATTGAGGAGAGGGAGGAAAAAAAAAAAAAAAAAAAAAAAGACTGGAAAGTAGGTGGTTCTCTTGCCTCAGACCCACCATCTACAAATGCAATTTTACCTAAACATAAAAGCTTTGCGGGTGTCCAATCACAGGAAGGTACCAGCCTATAACCCAGGATCTCTGGACAACCAGTCTTGTACTATACTGGTGATCTCCAAACTGCGGCCCTTTGCTTGCCCTTGGTACACCATTCCTCCCATACAGGCACTGTTCCTTCCACTAACATCAACGATGGGGCAGTGATGAGGGACATTTTCTACTACCACTGGTCACAGTCCACCTCCAAAGTCTGAATGAAGGTAATCTGTCCCTTTGTTTAGAAAGTTTCGAGACCCCTGTACTATATGATTAAGATCTGAAAATAGCTTATTTTTCCCTAAACATATTACTGAAAACATATGCTAAACCAGTATATATTCACTTTAAATCTAAATGATCAATTACTTTTATCTTGTCTCAAAAAAAAAAAAATCAGCAGGAATGATTTAATTTTTATCAAGATTTTTTTTTTTTTTCAAAAAAGATTGATAAAGTACGAATCAGTATTTGTTAGAAAAGAAACAAACATCCAATATGCATCTTATTTAAATCAAAATAAACATAACATTGATCAGTAAAGTTTTCAATAATGGCAGATTTCATTTCAGAGAGTCATTTGCATAAAATCCTTTTACCACCTGCATGTGGCTGATAAATTAATTTAACACAGGCTCTAACAAACTTCCATATTAGATGTAGAGTGTGATGAAAGTTGTAGAACAACAACAATACAACACAAGAAGATTGGTATCAACAGAATTAAATTAAATAGGTTTAATTCACAAAGCATTACCACAAGAATAAGTATCTTTATTTTAGCCATATGACTGCAATATTCAAATTTCATTGTATTTAACTAAAAATAACGGTCACTTTATTTTTTAAAAATAAGTATCCTTATCTTAGTGTGTTGGCTTTGTGAATTGTTTCTAGTGAATTCAGAATCAAGTGAACCATGAAATTTACTGCCTGTACAACCTATTATACCACTAAAGTGGATGCCAGAAATCAAGACCACGATTGCTCCATGCTAGCCCAGGAGAAACATAATTGAGATTCTACACTGCTTTCACTCAGGATAGTCTTTAGAATAGACATCCTGATTAGGATCATTCAAAGAAACTCCATTTTTCTGACCATGCTCATACTGTGAGACAAGACAGGGAAATAATAGACTTTGTAAATAACTCTCACTACCTACGATGCCTCACTATGTCTACATGGACTTTTGATGTACCGTTTGTGTTGATTAGGATCTGCTCAAATCTAGCTGGTAGCCATGTTTTCTGCACACAGTAATCTACAGTAGACATGGGAAAGTTCACATAGTTACAGCATTCTGCGTGCCTACAAATTCTACAAAGCAGCAAACAAAATGTATCATTTCTATTTGGCACATCAGACCTTACAGATGCATAAGAGTAACATGCATGACCTAAGAGACTTATTTACAAAAGTGATTATTTCACTCAAATGCCTTCTCTATAATGTTTGCTATACTGGTACAAAAATGTGTAGTGGAACTACACGTGTTCATGGGTTGTGGCACTAAATCAGGTTACAAATGGTAATGTCCCATTTGATGGAAGGAAGTTGTGTAGCAAGACAGTCATGGTGGCTGAAGGTGGTACAAAGATTATGTTCGTGAAGTTCCACTGCAAATTCATCTCAGGAGTAAATTGTTACCCATTGATTACTCCATTGAGTCACATACATCAGAGTGGTAGGCACTGACTGGTTTTCACATTTAAAGAAAAAGCAAAATAAAGTGTGTTCAATAACTTCTGTGCTTCCAGCAAAATACAATGTTAAGACGTGTTATGTTAACGCCTGGGTATCTGTATTTTTTGGAAAGGAGGCGTTAAAAAACCATTAACAAAAAAAAACAAAACAAAAAAAAAAAAAACAGACTAGTGAATAAATGGATACCTTCTCCCACAATATTTCAGTGCATCCACTCAAGTTACTCGTCTAAAGTGCGCACCTCCTCAAACATTACAGCTGAAAGATGGTTAGAAATGTATTGTGAGCATAGTCACTTGTAAACTGGACCTCTGCAAACCATTAAAAAGTCTTCTGGGAGGTTAACCCTTCATGCCCAGCATGGGGTAACCATCATTCACAAAATGCAGGAAGCTCTGTCAGTCAGTTAAAAGGAAATGCCAAATTCAATTTGATTACTGGCTCAGACGATCATTCACCTGCGTATGGAGGTCTTTTACAACAATGCAGCGACCAACATTGCAGGAACGGGTGCACCAACCATCGACACAACACCCAACCTCAGAATTCAGTGTGGTACATCAAAAATTCCCCAGAGATGCCTTAATGGACATTAGAAACCAAAGTCTTTCTTCTAGTAGTGACATGCACTGGAAATGCAAGCATAAGATTTTAGAAGACACAGGGGATACTTTAATAGGCTGGATGGGACAGTCCTTCATCCTGTTAATTTGAACAAAAGATTAGCGCACAAGAAGCAGCTGCTGTCAGTGCTTCATCAAGCAGAATGGAGGCAGAGCAGATTTGGTTTCCTTTTTGGAAGAAATCCTATAAAGGCCCGTTGTAAACTTCACTGACTCTCTTGCGCAAACAGCTGCAGAACTCAAACATGGTAGCAGAAAGGCTCTGGTTAATGAGGGTAGCGAGGTAGCCGACCCTGCATAAAAAAGAAATATTAATTAAAATGTTGATCTACATCAGGGGTGTCCAAATTTTTTTCAAAGAGGGCCAGATTGGATGAAGTGAACATGGTGGAGGGCCGAACATTTTTCCAAACATTCTTTGAACCATTACAATTAAATGCAAATAAATTATTTTATGCCAAGTTACCATATTTTTCGCCGTATAAGACGCACCTGACCATAAGACGCACCTAGGTTTTAGAGGCAGAAAACAGGAAAAAAAAAATTCTGAACTAATGGACTGCAGACACAGTACAGGAGATGACCAGAGACTGCGGACAGCACAGGGATGACCAGAGACTGCGGACAGCACAGGGATGACCAGAGACTGCGGACAGCACAGGGATGACCAGAGACTGCGGACAGCACAGGGATGACCAGAGACTGCGGACAGCACAGGGATGACCAGAGACTGCGGACAGCACAGGGATGACCAGAGACTGCGGACAGCACAGGGATGACCAGAGACTGCGGACAGCACAGGGATGACCAGAGACTGCGGACAGCACAGGGATGACCAGAGACTGCGGACAGCACAGGGATGATCAGAGACTGCGGACAGCACAGGGATGACCAGAGACTGCGGACAGCACAGGGATGACCAGAGACTGCGGACAGCACAGGGATGACCAGAGACTGCGGACAGTACAGATGACTGCTGACCTTTGGGGAGGTGGGGAGCGGGTACCTGAATTTGACAGGTACCCGCTCTTACTTCCGCAGTTGTTCTTTGATCTTACCTGTTCCTCGATCCAGCCGTGCGCTGTCTTCCCGGCTTCTGTAATGGCGCTCGGCATGACAGCCGGGTGCCCAGTGCGCATGAGCGAGAAGCACTTGCGCTTTGTGATTGGTCCGGCGGCTTCTGGGATCTGTCATGTGTCCCAGGTACCGCCTTACCATTCACAAAAAGCACCGCTTCTTGCGCATGCGCACTTGGCACCCGGCTGTCATGCCCAGCGCCCACACTACAGAAGCCGGGAAGACAGCACGCCGCTGGATAGAGGAACAGGTAAGGTCCCGCTGCAGAGCTGAGCGGCCGGCCCGGTATTCTGACACGGCCGCGGTGGAAATACCGGACCGGCCGCTCCATAAGACACACTGACACACTGACATGGAGGGCCGTATTAAACCGACCCTCGGGCCGTAAATGGCCTGTGGGCCGGACTTTGGACATGCCTGATCTACATGAATAAAGTGATACTAAAGTCCCCCTTAAAAAAAAAAAAAAAAAAAAAGAAAAAAAAAAAAAGTAATACCAGCTCTCTGCAATGATATTGCACAGAAAGGTCACTATCCTCCTCTTTTGCCAGTCGTTCCCCCCTGATTCTGTCAACTTATCCCTCCTCTGGGTGCCTCTTGCAGTATGCTGGGTGCTAAAGAGGCACCTGTGCTTGTGCACTCCCAAGCCAGGCTGTGTGCATCCATAGACCAACAGCACTGTTAAGCCAAGCCCCTGTTCGCTCATCACAGGAGTTTGACTGACAGTAGCAGGAGCCTATGGTTCTGCTACTCTCAGTTTCTCCTGTGAAAGCAGGAAGTGAAGAGGGTGGTGCTAGAGCCGGAGACAGCACTGGAGAGGTGACAGAGTCAAGTGTTTACCGATTGGGAAGAGAAAAAGGAGGGGGGGGGGGGTTGTAGATCAGGGCATCTTTTTAACATACAGAGGGTAACCAGTAGGGGCCAAGCTTGAGTCGGGTGTTTTAGGATCATATAACATGTATGCGAGCTTCTCCCCCCTCTAGAGCAATTCAGGAAAACATTTTAAAAGACTGTAAAATAGTCACCAAAACTCCTGACAAAATAAAAATTGCATATTCAGCATGTCACAACCAACAAACGATTCATCTGTGCTTTCCTGTACAGCTCACCTTCAAATCAGTGTTGAGGATCCAGATAAAAGTGCAGACGGACGGATTCCGGGAGCTCTTTAGAACAACAAAACCGCCTGGTCCATTCTCTCCCCTAAACAGATAAATAAATCATTATACATGTACCCGTTTGCCACCAGACCAATTTCTTTACACACATGCAAAGATGTGCATTTTTGACTTTAAAGGCCTGTATACACTTGTTTTGAAGGTTTTTATTTTTTGGGGGGGGGGTATTGTGGAGTAAAAAAAATGTGGTTGAGCTGTGTTTTTATCCCCCCCCCCCCCGCAGGTGGTGAAGTCAGGAAAGCAATCCAAGCACAGATCACCTTTTAGAGAAGCAGCAGTCCTTGCAGCTATTGTAAACGAGCCTTGGAATACTTATAACCCCCAAAACATTATACATCTTCTAAAAGCAGAGAACCTACAGAATAAAAAAAAATTGCCACTGCTTGTCAAACATACGGTAGTTGCAACTTTGTATCAAAATTATATTTTCAATGAAAACACCCCCAAAACACTAAAAACTTATATATAAAAAAAAAAAAAAAAAAAAGAAGACATTGCTTCGAGTAATAATATGCCAGAAAATTCAGACCACAAAATAGAGACAGACTACGACAACCACATTTTTACAGAGGCATCACTTAAAACTTCTATAGCTCTTCAAATTAGAGCTAAGTGTAATTGATGGCTCTAGATACATTTTATGTTTGTTTTAACCCTTTCAATGCCATGACATTGGCAAAAACAATCAAACGCAACCGTTTCTCTGTAAAGACTGCATTGTTAATCTGACAAGTCTTGTCTGCAAGCTATAAATGTTACAAAGAACAAAACATTAAACGTTTTTGCTGTAGTTTTTAATTTGCTTTTATTACGACTTTGTACACTGAATCACATGACGGGGATTCATTTTCCCAGAATTACAGATTTGAAAGTAGTATGTGCCATTTTGCCATTTTCTATTTTCACAAACCATTCTGTATAATACATTGCCTATAGTGCCATCCAGTGGGGAAGGACATATGAAATGCTTAAGTATCCCATAGATTAACCCCTAGATGCCAAGAGCATGCAAATATGTGGCCTCTCAGCGTCTGGGCCTTGAAATCGAGTGGCCGCATATTTGTGCGCCATTAGAAAATACAATGTGCTGAGAGCGCGCTTCCAGCACGTATGTCCGTGATTCACGGAAAGGTCCAGATCTCCCCTTGCGATCAGGACCTTTTCAGATCGTGTGACCACTGTGACAGCAAATCACGGAGGTCACATGACCCTAAAACCCCGCCTCCCGGCTTCTGAAACTCTTAAAGGGCCGGGAGGCACCGGCGCAAAGGGGTTAAGGGCCTGTGTCGTTAGGCTTTTGTTCGTTTCAAGAGGGTTTTACATTCCCGTTCGGGTTTATGGAAATGCAAAACCTGCTTGAAACGGGTCAAAAGTAGGTCAAGGGAGGTCCCTGCAGGTCAAATGCACCTGTCAATGAATTCTGAATGATCATAGAAGCATGTAAACTGATGCGATCAAGACAAACCAGTCCTTCTACATAAATGTATACATTGTTCACAGGTCATTTCCATACGTTTGCGTGCTTGTTTGATAGCCTTGTCCTATCTGATCTCAAAACACTTTCCGGGCCACAGCGTGCCAGTCAAGTGTATCAAAAGCCTTAGGAAGTCATAGCAGTCATTATGAACCCAAACATGTCAGGATGCATCGGGAAACATTGTCCCCAACGCCAACATTCTAGTAAAGGAACAAACAAGCACTTTACCTGACATATTTTGTAAGTTGAGGTCTGCAAGGATGAGTTCCTCCAATGCCCGCTGATAAGTACCGATCTTTTTTCTTCTCTCAATACGTCGTATATTCACAAAGTCCCTGGTATAGGAGAGGAGGATTAGTGAAAGCTTGACTTTGTCTATATGAATAGAAAGCATCTAAAAGGCAAGGTACTGACCTAGGGGACACCACCCCACCCGCTGCTCCTGCTGCTACATCATATGATACAAGCGTGTTATCATCTACACGCTGGATGACCTGAGGAATAAAAACGATAAGCAAGGATCAGATATGTAAAAAAGCAAATTGCTGGGACAATTCTTAGACCTCCACACTAAATAGCAGACAATCGTGTAACTTGGCAGGACTCATTTCCACGCCAATGCCGATATACTAGCAAAAAGTGCAACAATACTAGATACCACTCAAAATAGTTCACTCCAGATATACAGCCTTTTCAGGGCAAGTATATATCATGTGGACAAAATTGATGTTGAGTTTAGGTAAATGGTTAGTTTAACTTGGATGGTAAAAACAACACACATATACGTAAAACATACAAACTAAAACAGACAAGGCTTTCTTTTGGCCAGTATTTAAAGTAGAACTATAGACAAAACTTTTTTTTTCGTTCCGGATCGAGTAATGGACGGGTGTAACCCCTGTAAGGTTTATTTCGCCCTCATTGTCTCATGGGGAGATATAAAGCATAGTGTTACTAAACAAACAACAGTAAAGTCAGTCTGTATATGAAGTTAAGCATGTTTATTACACTCACAGTGGAACCTAAGGGGTTAATCCTCTGCATTATGCAAAAATGCTGTTCGATCTTGACTTCTCTGATCCTCCCCTTCTTCCAGTGTCCCCTCTTATCTCTTGATAAGACATATCCTGTGGAGTCACTCTGCACATGCTCAGTTTGCTGTATATTGCTAGAGAGGTTTTTTTTTTTCCTTGGGAGAGTACATGTGATCAGCACAGGGCCAATCAGTACTGTCCAGACAGAGGTCAGGGGTTCTACATCCTCCTAAAGCAGAAAGAAAACTCCTCCTACAAACTTTAACCAGTGCTCTGCTGGAAATGATAAAAAAAAAAAGTCACAAGGCTGCTATATACTGCTGATGAGAAAAGGTATTTAGCAGTTTATATTTACTAAAATAATTGCGTTTCCATGTTCTGTATACTGTGGGAGAGCAGATATAGTGAATGCAGGGTGCTGGGTTTAATAACACTTTAACCACTTGCCGTCTACCCTATAGCAGAACTGCTACTACAGGGCAGAAGTGGCATTGCAAAATAACACACGCACACACACACGTGTGATTTGCATTTACTGGTGGGGGTGCACGCGCTATTGGTGGCTAGAGATGTCAATCACTGGGTCCTGGCTGGTGATTCTCGGTTAGCACTCGGCGATCGTCGGGGAAATAGGACAGGGGAGAGACCTGTGTGTAAACACAGGTCTCTCCCATGTTAGCAAGGACATGGTGTTGTGTATTTCTCTGCACAGCAGAGAGATACAAAACAGCATGTCTCCATAGTAAAACACAATACAGTGCACACAGTAAACCCTTTGATTGCCCCAGATGTTAACCCCTTCCTGCCCAGTGTCATTAGTACAGTGTCAGTGCTTTTTATTAGCGCTGATCATTGTATTAGTGTCACTGGGATGTGAGTGGCAGTTCCCACCCAGTGTCAGAATGCCGTCGCAGTCCTGCTATAAGTTGCTGATCTCTACTATTACTAGTGTGTATATATATATATATATATATATATATATATATATATATATATATATATATATATATATATATATATAAAAATTCCAGTAAACATTCAACACACAGCCATTAATGTCTAAGCCGCTGGCAACACAAGTGTCTACACCCCTAAGTGAAAATGTCCCAATTGGGCTCAATTAGCCATTTTCCCTCCCTGGTGTCATGTGACTCAGTGTTACAAGGTTGGGAGCAGGTGTGTTAAATTTGGTGTTATCGCTCTCACTCTCTCATACTGGTCACTGGAAGTTCAACATGGCACCTCATAGCAAAGAACTCTCTGAGGATCTGAAAAAAAGAATTGTTGCTCTACATAAAGATGGCCTAGGCTATAAGAAGATAGCCAAGACCCTGAAACTGAGCTGCAGCACGGTGGCCAAGACCATACAGTGGTTTAACAGGACAGGTTCCACTCAGAACAGGCCTCGCCATGGTCGACCGAAGAAGTTGAGTGCACATACTCAGCGTCATATCCAGAGGTTGTCTTTGGGAAATAGACATATGAGTGCTGCCAACATTGCTGCAGAGGTTGAAGATGTGGGGGGTCAGTCTGTCAGTGCTCAGACCATACACCGCACACTGCATCATATTGGTCTGCATGGCTGTCGTCCCAGAAGGAAGCCTCTTCTAAAGATGATGCACAAGAAAGCCCGCAGTTTGCTGAAGACAAGTAGACTAAGGACATGGATTACTGGAACCATGTCCTGTGGTCTGATGAGACCAAGATAAATGGATTTGGTTCAGATGGTGTCAAGCGTGTGCGGCGGCAACAAGGTGAGGAGTACAAAGACAATTGTGTCTTGCCTACAGTCAAGCATGGTGGTGTCATGGTCTGGGGCTGCAGGAGTGCTGTCGGCACTGGGGAGCTACAGTTCATTGAGGGAACCATGAATGCTAACATGTACTGTGACATACTGAAGCAGAGCATGATCCCCTCCCTTCGGAGACTGGGCTGCAGGGCAGTATTTTAACATGATGAAGACCCCAAACACACCTCCAAGATGACCGCTGCCTTGCTAAAGAAGCTGAGGGTAAAGGTGATGGACTGGCCAAGCATGTCTCCAGACCTAAACCCTATTGAGCATCTGTGGGACATCCTCAAATTAAAGGTGGAGGAGCACAAGGTCTCTAACATCCACCAGCTCCGTGATGTCATCATGGAGGAGTGGAAGAGGACTCCAGTGGCAACCTGTGAAGCTGTGGTGAACTCCATGCCCAAGAGGGTTAAGGCAGTGCTGGAAAATAATGGTGGCCACACAAAATATTGACACTTTGGGCCCAATTTGGACATTTTCACTTAGGGGTGTACTCACTTGTGTTGCCAGCGGTTTAGACATTAATGGCTGTGTGTTGAGTTATTTTGAGGGGACAGCAAATTTACCCTGTTATACAAGCTGTACACTCACTACGTCACATTGCAGCAAAGTGTCATTTCTTCAGTGTTGTCACATGAAAAGATAAAACATTTACAAAAATGTGAGGGATGTACTCACTTCTGTGAGATAATGTTTACTGGAATTTTCTATATATATATATATATATATATATATATATATATATATATATATATACATACACACACACATACATATATACACTAGTACTCACTTCTGTGAGATAATGTATATACTGCCATATGTAAACGCAATAACTTTCACGTAGCTCAATTAATTTACACGTATTGGGATTTGTTTTTTTTTTTAGCAAAGACATGTAGCAGAATACATTTTGGCCTACATTTATGAAGAAATTAAATTTTTTAATTGGACATGTTTTATAGCAATAAGTCAAAAAGATTTTTTTTTTCAAAATTGTCTATAGCACAAATAATAATAATAATAAAAAATAAAAAAACGCAGAGGTGACCAAATACCACCTAAGGAAATCTCTATTTGTGGGGAAAAAAATGACAAATTTAATTTATGTACAGCGTTGCATGATCACGCAATTGTCAGTTAACAGCTATACTGCTACAAGGCGGCAAGGGTGCGAAAAATCACAAAATATATCTCCTAGATTGTAAGCTCGAAAGAGCAGGGCCCTTGAACCCCTCGTGTTTTGTTTTGTTGCTGTCTTGTCTCATGTACTGTCCCCACTATAATGTACAGCGCTGAGCAAACCTTTTAGCGCTATATATAAACTGTATAATAATAATAATAAAAAAAAAGGAAATATATATATATATATATATATATATATATATATATCTATATCTCAATCACACGTCACTGTGCATCACCGGGTAGGGGGCGTGCACGTAGCTGTCAATTACCGGGTCACGGCCAGTGATTACTCGCCAGCACCTGGTGACTGTCGAGCATCTCAAATGGGGGAAGGGGGACCGTTAGTGAACAGTTTAGCCATGCAAAGCAGTCCCTAATAAAAAGCACACAGTTACCCCTTTGATCGCCCCACGTTAAAGCCTTCCTGCCCAGTGCCATTAGTAGTGTCAGTGCTTTTTATTAGCACTGATCACTGTATTGGTGTCACTGGGGATGTCAGTGACACCAAGTCAGTTCCCCAAAGTGTCAGAATGCCCACTGCAGTCCCGCTATAAGTAGCTGATTGCTGCCATTACTAGTAAAAGTGTAAAAAAAAAAAAAATTCAAATATATACACACACCAACATTTGTAAACGCTATAACTTTCACTTAAACCAATTAATTTATACGTATTGGGTTTTTTTTTTTTTTTTTTAGCAAAGACATGTAGCAGAATACATTTTGGCCTAAATTTATGACGAAATTAGATTTTTTACTGGACATGTTTAACCACTTGCCGTCCGCCTGCTGTTTATAAACGGCAGGGCGGTGGCACTCCAGGGGCGGGTTGCCGTTCATAAATGGCACCCGCCTTTTCTAGCTGTGCATGCTCCCTGGGAGCGCGCAGCACCGCGATCCGGTGCCCGCTGTGTCCTCCGGACACAGTGAAACACCGATCGTCGGACGGGACCTCTGTACGAGGTCCCGATCATGTGATCACTGATTGGCCAATCAGTGATCACATGCAAAGTAGTAAGCAAGATGTCACTTGTGACATCATTGCTTACTACGTGTGAAACCTGTGAAAGATCACAGAGGTCACAAGGTACAAGGCTATTCACAACAGCCTTGTACCATGTGACAAGGTCTGACCAATCACAGCTCACTCAGTATTTCTCAATGGCTGCAATAATGCCGACAGAGAGAAAGAGAAATGATTGCTTTTACATCCTATATGGGTGTAAAAGCAATCAGTGTAAAAAAAAAAAAAAAAAAAAAAAAAAAAAAATCTTCATCACCCCCAAGTAGTACAGTGTCACCATGGTGACACTGTACTGCTAGGGTGACAGTATGTAAAAAAAAAAAAAAAAAAAAAAAAAAAAGAACCATAAATAATAATATAAAAAAATAAAATAAAAATGTATAAAAAAATGTTTAAAAATTTAAATTTTTGGTTATCAACTTATTTGGCTGATTTATTTTTTTTACTAAAAATATAACGGAATACATTTTGGTCAAGATTTATGATGAAAGATTATTTATTTGCAAAATTATATAAGAAAAACACTTTTTTTCAAAATTTTGGGACTTTTTCATTTACATAGGAAAAAAAATAAAAATCCCAGCGGTGAATAAATACCACCAAAATAAAGCTTTATATGTCTCAAAAAAATGGTAAAAAATTAATATGGGTACAGTATTGCATGACCGCGCAATTGTCATTCAAAGTGTGATAGCGCTGAAAGCTGAAAATTGCCCTGGACAGGAAGGGGGTAAAAGTGTCCGGACAGGAAGTGGTTAATAGCAAACGTCAAAAAAAAAAAAAAAAAAAGGGAAAAAATATATTTATATTGATTTTATATGTATACACAAATGTTTTGTCTTCTAATTCCATTTAAAACTGAATGGGTTGTTTTACACATTTTCAAGCGTTCAAGCATTTTTTTGAAGCAGAATTGCAAGTTCTTGCAGGTTTTGTCAGGCGTTTATCAACTAGGCATTTGGAGTACTGCTGAAAAACGTGCAAGCAAGAACAAGGGAAAAAAACTAAAAAAAACAAAAAAAACAAAAAACCTGAAAACGCTCATGTCACGGTTTTCAGGCATTTCCACTTAAGTCTATGAGTACAAAAATGCTCACGTCAAAAAAAATCACCTGCAAGGTATAACCATAATGTGTTAGTATGCATCGCACACTAGCACATTATGCAAAACGTATCTTAAAGTGAAGCCCTCCAGCGGCGTGCTGTCACTGCTGTAGAGGCCTCCATCTCCACTCGGTCTTCCTTCCGGATCTGCGAGCTCCGGTCATTTGGCTGGCTGAGCAGCGTTGACGTCACTCCCGCGCATGTGTCTCGTGACATGGTACGGTGCTCTGAAGAAATGGCACGGATATGCAGTTCCTTCAGAGCGCATGTGCTGGCTGTAAAAAAACCCTGAATATCTCCTAAACAGTACATCTTTAGGAGATATTCTACCTACAAGTAAGCTTTATTATAAGCTTACCTGTAGGTAAAATTTAACAAAGTGGCATTACTAACACTTTAAAAGTAGCTGTACTTTGTTGAGCCACAAAACAAGCATTTTCATAGTGACAACAAGTGCATTGAATAAATAGTTTTTTGCTTGTTAAGCGTTTTTGAGCTCAGAAAATGCTCAAGTGTGAACGGGGCCTCGAGGATTGGTAACCTGCAATATATTATCTTTTTGTTTTACAAAAGTAAATGTTTATTTTAGTGCCGAATATAATAAACCTTGAAAAACCACAACAGATTGCATCTAACAGTCTACCTAGCCTGCATTTTCAGATGCTCATTCATACCAACCTGACATACAGCCACAGTCCTGTTCCACAAGACCATCTTCTCCGGTTGTAAGATAACCTCTTGGTATACGACTTCTGCAGGACACTGAATTAAAGCCTGGAAGCATAAACAAAGATTAGATCTTTCATACACTGTACACCGTATAGGTAGATGTGGATGAACACAAAGATGAGAATTCACAGAAAAAAAAAAACATAAAACCTGCCTCAGCGGTGACACTGTACTGCTAGGGTGACAGTACGTAAAATAATAAAAAAAAAAAAAAAACCAAAAAAAACCCACAAATAATATAAAAAAATAATAAAAATGTAAAAAAAAAAAAAAAAATGTTTAAAAATTATAATTTTTGGTTATAAACTAATTTGGGATATTTTTTTTTTTTTTACTAAAAAGATAACGGAATACATTTTGGCCAAGATTTATGATGAAATATTAGCAAAATTTTTAAGAAAAACACTTTTTCTTCAAAATTTTTGGACTTTTTCATTTACAAAGCAAAAAAAAAAAAAAAATCCCAGTGGTGAATAAATACCACCAAAATAAAGATTTATCTGTCTCAAAAAAAGGCTAAAAATTAATATGGGTACAGTGTTGCATGACCGCGCAATTGTCATTCACAGTGTGATAGCACTGAAAGCTGAAAATTGGCCTGGACAGGAAGGGGGTAAAAGTGTCCGGACTGGAAGTGGTTAAGGACCGTCCTATAGCAAATATACTGCTACATGGTGGCACCTGTGCGCAAAATCATGCGTATATAAAATACACGTGATTTCGCATTTCTGGGTAGGGGGCGCTGTTCGTGGCCACGGATGTCAATCACCGGGTCCCAGCCGGTAATTACCGACAATAAACAAAACAGTCTTCCTCTCGGTCAGCTAGAGCACACTGCTTGGGATGGCTGTGCACAGCAAAGCCATCTAGATCAGTGTGCTTACAGCAAAGCACACCCCCGCCCCCTAGTAAAACATTCCCAGCACAGAGTTAACCCTTTGATCGCCCCTCACAATAACACCTTCCTGCCCCGTGCCATTAGTACAGTGTCAGTGCTGCTTTTTTTTTTTTTTTTTTTAGCACTGATCACTGTATTGGTGTTACTGGGGATGTCAGTTCCCTCCTCCCGTGTCAGAATGTCTGCCACAGTCTCGCTAAAAGTCGCTGATCACCGCCATTACTAGTAGAAAAAAAAAAATTTTCATTATCTATACCACCATTTGTAAACACTATAACTTTCATGTAAACAAATTAATTTACATGTATTGAGATTTTTTTAATTTAGCGAAGACATGTCATAAATATAGGCCAAAATGTATTCTGCGCCGAAATTTGATTTAACATTTTTTACCAGACATGTTTAACAGCAAAGTCCAAAATATCGTTATTTTCTAAAAATTGTCGTTTTTTTTGCTCATAGAGCAAAAAAAACAAAAACAAAAAAAAAAACAAAAAACGCACAAGCGATCAAATACCACTGAAAGAAAGCTCAATTAGTGGGAAAAAAGGGACGTAAATTTCATTTTGGTGTAGCGTTGCATGACCGCGCAATTGTCAGTTAAAGTAACGCATCGCTGTAACACAAAAAATGGCCTGTCAGGACAGGAAGGAGGGTAAATCCTCTGGACGGCAAGTGGATAAGGCAGAGCTGCCTGCAGGCAAAAATCTGTTAGTGCTCTGTACAATCATACATTTCCTAATCAGGGACAAGGGTTTTGGGTGGGTGGAAGGGTTCTCCTAGGCCATTAGTAGATTTCCCATTTTAAACGGTAAATTCCCTGTAATATTGTTCTTATTTGGCAACAAACTACAACTTTTGTATTGTTGTTTCTCTTACCTTTAAAATAAAAGTTTTCCCATGAAAAGGGATGTCAAGTGTATAGACAACATCCCAACTTCCTGAAATACATAGAAAGACATTTATTATAGAATCACACACTTATGCGCTGCACCCAAGGAAGAGGTTGTAGTTTTGCTGTGAAAGTTCAGGGAAATACATGGTTTTGCTTTAAATGCCAACACACTAAGCACAGCCACACAAAAGAAGAGGCAAAGCTCATCTCACCACATACTTTGCCCTTTCAAATAAAGTTTCAAATACAGATAGAAAGATGGAAAAGTGAGGGAACTGCCATATTAACCAAACAGAAATGTGCATTCTAAATATTTAAACGTCCACAAAATAAAAGCCTACATCAGACTGGCTACAATAGGAAACCTCCAAATGTCCTTTTTTATTTTTTATGAATCAACCTTAGTATAATTTACAGGGAAAAAAAAACAAAAAAAAAAAAAAAACACACTCGGGTGTCACAAGATAGTCAGGTATTGTGAAAAAAAATCAGAACAGGCATTAGCAGGGTACTTACATTGCCCTTTTCATATTTCCAATTGACTTCCTGAGCGAGTATCTGCTCGACAATTTCCATAGCTTCCTTGCCCTTCCTCACATATTCCCGTTCCTGGGCAGTAACTGCCTTCCTCCCCACAGCTTCATCATCATCATCTTCAAATTCATTGTCAGACCCTGGGTGGAAGAGACAAGTCTAATGCATTTTTCATTCAATTAATCAGCAGAATGAAGGAAATCTGCAACTATGTTTTTGAAAAAAAAAAAAAAAAGACAAAAAAGCAGCAAATACTCTCACCTGCAAAGGACTCTGGTGGGGAATAAAACTGTCCATCAGAGATTGCCCCTGGGTACAGAAGAGGAGGGCGAAGGGCAGCAGCTTGAGCAGCCAGATACCCTATTTGTGCGAATAAAACATTTAAAGAGAACAAGTCACATACATTTCTAATGTTCTGAATTGCGAAGTTATATTAATATAACATTACCTCTCAGGATATACTTTTATCATTTACTCTATTCTATTCCTGTTAACCCCTTAGTGACTGAGGGTAAAACAAAAGTTAATGCCTAAAACACAATTATGCAACTCTGAAAGGCGTTATTAAACATGTACATATCATCGCAACTACTGGCGTAGAAAGGCAGGAGAGGAGCAATGTATACAGTAAGCTACCGCTAAATGTCACTGGCAGTTTTTAAAAGTCATTACCGGCTTTTTTTTCAATCCCGTCATTCGCCCTATGCTAAAGGAAACTCAGGGGCAGGGCCACTGGTGACCCTATCCCTTTATTTCCTTTAGCGGCGGGGAGAATGACAGCTCCTTCTTGGAGCTATTGTGAAAAAAAAAAAAAAAAAAAAAACAGTTATTACAATCCTGGTTTTTAAATGTAATTACCGGCTTTTTTCCCCTTCACTATAGCTCCGAGAAGGAGCTGTCATTCTCCCTGCCGCTAAAAGAAATAGAGGGGCACGGTCACCCAGTGACATTACCCAGTGACCCCGCCGCTTAGTTTTCTTTAGCGGAGGGGAGAATGATAACTCCTTCTTGGAGCTATAGTGAAGGGAACAAAGAAAAAAAAAAATATATTTTTAAAAACCAGGAATGACATATTAGGGGCAGCCAGTGAGGGAGCCCGAGTGTATACACTGCTCCCTCACTTTATACACTGCTACTCTACTGCCCCTCCTTGTGCACACTGCCCCCGCCCCTCTCCCCTACCAAGAGGATCTGTCACTCATATGCTATCACTTAGGGGACTATTGGTCCCCTATGTGATAACAATAAAATCCTAAGTTCAAAAAATAAATAAAAATACAGTTAAAAAAAATAAATAAACGTAAGCCTCCCCAACCCCAACATATGCAGACGACAATTCAGTTTCGGTTATGTGCATTCTGAATTTGCGGTATCGGTTTTGGCACCAGAAACTTCATTTCGGTGCACCACTAATATTTACCATCAAAGAATGACCCGAAATAAACTCTGATACCACATATGTGTACATTAGCTGTTGTTTGTAACCGTAGTAGGGCCCCGAAACAGTGCGCATTTTGCTTTTTTTATCCTACCAAAACATGCTGACACTGATACTCATTTAAAAAATGCTTTCTTTAAAAAAATTCTACCCAAAATTCTACTGGCTATGACCTTTGACCCCGTTCTTGACCCTAACACTAATCCTGGCACTGACAATCAAGTCCAGGGTCCTACTATTAGTATGAGACCCGGGGTTCCCAGTGAGAGCCCGGTCTCTGTCCTGTGAGGGAGATGTGCAGTGCACCTCTAGCACAAAGAGATACGCATACGCAGCCCCACGGATATAGATTCACTTCTGTGAGGATCAGGGGCGGACTGACAACTCACGGGGGCCCCCGGGCAATAGGGGATCATGGGGCTCCTGTGTCCTTGCCCACACTCAAAAAAGCCTATGAAGAAGGTACCAGGGGCATCTCATGGGGCCCCCTACTGACCCCGGGCCCTCGGGCAGCGCCCGAGTTTCCAAATGGTCAGTCTGCCCCTGGTGAGGATACATGTATGCGTACTGTCAGCAGAAAGGGATTAAAGCTGCAGACTCGATGGACTAGTCGGTCTTTTTCTGCCATCACTTTTCTATGTTTCTAGGTTTTTATGTAAAGCAGAAATGGCAGGCTGTAAAGTCATCCTGTTTTCTGTATGGGATCAATGCTAATGAAAGACACTGAAAAATCATATGATAAAAATTCTGTAAGATTTTCATGAAAGAGAATGAAAGGCTTTTTTACATCTGATATCATCTGATAATTTCAGCTTCCTCCAAGTTATCAGCTCCGAGCTCAGGCAGGAGACAGTTCAACCTCAAACCAGGCTTCCAGCCTGAAACTAAGCTAACATTTCTGGTTTTACAGGAAGAAAATATAACTAAAAACAGCACACACACTTCTCTCTGAGACTTGTCACACCATAGTAGCAGGATCTTACAAATGTAAATACCTGACTCTCTTTTAACACCTTGTTGACTGCAGGACATTGGGAAAGGCAACAAGCCGTGAACTAACCTCTACTCAATTGAGTATGCACTTACATCTCTCCTCCTCGGCCTCCTGTGTAAGAACCTTGAAATCCAGGAACCATGTCTCCAGCCAGGCCAAAACAAAAGACATGATGGGCAGCAAGTACCCAAATGCCCCCTTAGATAGAAGCTAAAAAAAGGAAGAAGGACAATACATGATTTATACAGAAGAAAGCACACGGACCTCAAAATGCTACTTGATTATGTCTAGGACAGAAGAATATACTGTACAGTGTATATAGCTATGTTATAGATCTGTATAGCCTGCACACATTCACAGACGGAAATTACTTTCTCATAAGCTGGCCAAACATTGCATGACACAACAAAGAAAATTTTGACTGTCTACTTTTTGGGATTTTCCACGAGAATGAATATTCCTTTTTAATGAGAACAACTGTTTATTTGGAGAGTTGCTCATCATGTACAATCAATGTCCGAAAGATAGGATTCTTTATTCACAACAAATGTTTTGATATACACTGCTCAAAAAAAAAAAAATAAATAAAGGAACACTTTTTAATCAGAGTATAGCATCAAGTCAATTAAACTCCTGGGACATTGATCTGGTCAGTTAAGTAGCAGAGGGCGTTGTTAATCAGTTTCAGCTGCTTTGGTGTTATTGAAATAACAATGGGAGAACTAGATGGGCAACAATGAGACGACCCCCAAAACAGGAATAGTTTTACAGGTGGAGACCACTGACATTTTTGACATCTTTTCTGACTGTTTTTCACTAGTTTTGCATTTGGCTAGGGTCAGTGTCACTACTGGTAGCATGAGCTGATACTTGGACCCTACTGAAGTTACACAGACAGTCCAACTCCTCCAGGATGGCACATCAATATGTGCCATTGCCAGAAGGTTTGCTGTGTCTCCCAGCACAGTCTCACAAGCATGGAGGAGATTCTAGGAGACAGGCAGTTACTCTAGGACAGCTGGACAGGGCCGTAGAATGTCCTTAACCCATCAGGAGGGCCAGTATCTGCTCCTTTGTGCAAGGAGGAACAGGAAGAGCACTGCCAGAGCCCTACAAAATGACCTCCAGCAGGCGCCACTGATGTGAATCTTTCTGACCAATCAGAAACAGACTTCATGAGGGTGGCCTGAGGGCCCGACGTCCTGTAGTGGGCCCTGTGCTCACTGTCTGGCACCATAGAGCTTGATTGGCATTTGCCATTGAACACCAGAATTGGCTGGTCCGCCACTAGCGCCCTGTGCTTTTCACAGATGAGAGCAGGTTCACCCTGAGCACATGTGACAGACGTGAAAGGGTTTGGAGAAGCCATGGAGAAAGTTATGCTGCCTGTAACTTTGTTCAGCATGAGCGTTTTGGTGGTGGGTCAGTGATGGTCTGGGGAGGCATATCCATGGAGGGATGCACAGACCTCTACAGGCTACACAATGGCACCCTGACTGCCATTAGGTATCGGGATGAAATCCTTGGACCCATTGTCAGACCCTACACTGGTGCAGTGGGTCCTGGGTTCCTCCTGGTGCATGACAATGCCCAAACTCATGTGGCCAGAGTATGTATGCAGTTTCTGGAGGATGAAGGAATTGATACCATTGAATGGCATCCACGCTCGCCTGTCCTAAATCCAATAGAACACTTCTGGGATATCATGTTGGTCCATCTGACGCCGCCAGGTTGCACCTCAGACTGTCCAGGGATGCTCTGGTCCAAAGCTGGGAGTAAATACCCCAGGACACCATCCGTCTCATTAGGAGCATGCCCTGACATTGTCAGGCATGCATACAAGCACCTGGGAGCCACACAAACTACCAAGTACCATTTTGAGTTGCGGCAATGAAATTTCAGCAAAATGGACTAGCCTGCTGCATCATTTTTTCACTTTGATTTTCGGGGTGTCTCTGAATTCAGTCCTATGTAGGTTGATCATTTTCATTAAACAAGGTTGCATTCCTAACACATTACCCAGTCCATATCAGTATAGATATCCAGCATGATATTTTTGCCCATTGAGATCTGATGTGTTTTTATTGAGTTCCTTTAATTTTTTTTTGAGCAGTGTATATGTGGACAGAATTATTCAGCTCCCCTCCAAATCTCAATGTTAAGTGATCTTTGCTATTCATAGCCACACCCACAATGACATGATGCTCTAAACCAGGGGTGGGCAAACTTTTTGACTTGAGGGCCGCAATGGGTTCATATATTGGACCCGGGGGTAGATGGATGTGTATGTGTCATCCATAGTAAGCATAGTAATTCATCCCCCATAGTAAGCATAGTAATTCATCCCCCATATAGTAATTCATCCCCCATATAGTAATTCATTCCCCATATTAAGTCCCCAAGTCCCCCCTGTGTCAATTCACTTACCTTTGCTCCGCACGTTCCTCTCGCCGTGTTCCCGCGCCGTTCCGGTGTAGCATGAAAATCTGTCTCCTATGAGGATCTGTCCCCCTCGACGTATCTGCGCATGTGCCAGTTTCAGGCATTAGCAGCCGATCGGCGATCTCCGGCACATGCGCAGATACGTCGAGGGGGACAGATCCTCATAGGAGACAGATTTTCATGCTACACCGGTCTTCAGGGCGGACTGTGAGAGGAGCCTAGCGGGAGCCTAGCTTCCCGGGCCGGATTAAAAGGTCCGCCGGGCCGTATACGGCCCGCAGTTTGCCCATTGCTGCTCTAAACCCTAATGCGGGGTACATTCAAGAAAGTTTTCTCATTTAACCCAGTGGGCTGAACAAAAATGAACTGAAAGATCACCATACTAACACAAGCTATGTTAGTAAAGCGATCTCCACCACTGTGCTATTCTGTTCTGACAGGGGGACTGCCTCCCCTTCCTGCCCAGAACACACTGATCAGCCAATAGCTGCCAGTGCTGATCTGATGTCGGTTTTTAACTGTTCATTACGTTCTTTAAACCCCAACATCGATTAAAAAAATAATTTAAAAAAAAGTTTCCTTGCAGCAGGGCTGTGCGTGCACTGCAAGGGTTAAGTGCTCGGTTTGTCCAGGGGAGAAGAGAATGCCTTATACTCACCAGATCCTCCGCTCCACAGGCAAATGGCTCTCCTACAATCCAGTGGTGAACTGTTCCTGGTGTCCTCATGTCCAGAGCGGGTCCTGGAGCCTGCTCTGGTCTTGATGTCAGGATTCAAGACAGCTAGAATGCAGGGGTGTAGGTGCTATAAAGACCAGCCTTGTGCAAGGAGGATCAGGTAAGTTTATCTCCTTTCCACTCTCCCCTAGACCAAAAAAATTACAAAAAATCCCTGAAGTGCAGGCACAGCCCCACTGCAAGGGAACACTTTTTTGCTTGAAGTTAAGCTTTAGGTAAATCCAACACCAGTACACAATCCTCTTCCCCAGGCAGGAAGCTGTAGATAAAGACCATTGCTCTGAGTAGAAGCAGTGACCTCTTTAAAATGGTCTAACACACTTTCCACTTAGTTAGGACTAGAGCTCTGCAATCATCAAAGCCCACATTTAATGGGAGTGTGTCACTAAGAGTGCATGTCAGTCTGCTATTTTTACACATCTTTATCAGCCACCCCTTGCTGTGAGGAAGGGGTAGAGGATTTGACAATGGAGAACATATCTAGAACATGTCCATATATCTATACTGGAAACTTCTGGACAGAGTGGGGAAGTATTAAACTCCAAACAGGTTTTACTGCAGTTGGAGGCTCAGTTGGTAAGATTCCTTCACTCCTGCCAGGTGAAAAAACTTTTCTCCAAACATTCTGTCCTAGGAAAATCTCTGTAATGGAGTCCTAGATAGCAGTAAAACTTGACAGGGGTTCTAACCTCTCTATTCTATTCAAAACTACAACAAAAGTCATGGGTATAGATACAATTTAACCACTTCCAGTCCGGACACTTTCACCCCCTTCCTGTCCAGGCCAATTTTCAGCTTTCAGTGCTATCACACTTTGAATGACAATTGTGCGGTCATGTAACACTGTACCCATATGAATTTTTAGCATTTTTGTGAGACAGATAAAGCTTTATTTTGGTGGTATTTATTCACCACTGGGATTTTTATTTTTGTGGCTATGTAAATTAAAAAGTCCAAAAATTTTGAAAAAAAGTGTTTTTCTTATAACATTTTGCAAATAGTATTTCATCATAAATCTTGGCCAAAATTTATTCCGTTATATTTTTAGTAAAAATAACCCAAATTAGTTTATAACCCAAATTAAAATTTGTAAACATTTTTTTCACATTTTTTATTTTTTACATACTGTCACCCTAGCAGTACAGTGTCACCATGGTGACACTGTACTACTTGTGGGGGGTGATTTTTTTTTTTTTTTTTTTTTTAAACACGGATTGCTTTTACACCCATAAAGGATGTAAAAGCAATCATTTCTCCTTCTCTCTGGCTGTATTCTTGCAGCCATTGAGAACTACTGAGTGAGCTGTGATTGGTCACAGCTTGTCACATGGTACAAGGCTGTTGTGAATAGCCTTGTACCATGTGACCTCTGCAATCATTCACAGATTTCACACGTAGTAAGCAATGTCACAAGTGACATCTTGCTTACTACTTTGCATGTGATCACTGATTGGCCAATCAGCGATCACATGATCTGGACCTCGTACAGAGGTCCTGTCCGACGATCGGTGTTCCACTGTGTCCGGAGGACGTAGCAGGCACCGGATTGCGGTGCTGCGCGCTCCCAGAGAGCGTGCACAAGCAGGGTGCGGGGAGGCCATTTATAAATGGCCACCTGACCCTGCACTGCCACCGTCCGGCCGTTTATATACAACGGCCGGACAGGAGGTGGTTAAGGAAATAACAGTAAGATTTTTGTAGTTTTTAGCTGCACATTCAATGTTTTAGTATGAAATTTCAATAAAGATTTTGGTTTCTATCTACAACTCAGAAAAAATAAATCCTAAATCGATCATATGCCTTTTTTATTACAGACACAAAATTAGATTTCTGAAAAAAATGTCTGGGACCAGAAGTAAACAACAGTATGAAGTGCAGTATCAAGGGGGAAATAAATAATAATTATTATTAATATCAATAGTGCAAAGAAAATGTATACAGATCAGAAAATGTTATAAAAGGAGAGAACGTGTGCCGCAGAGTTGAACTCTGCAACCACCTTAAAATGAGCAATGAGCAAGTGAAGCAATAT